TTCATTCTATTTCTTTTTTCTCTCCTTTGTTTTTTCTTCCTTTTTCCTCTATTTCTTTTCTTTTCTTTGTTTTCTCCTTTTCCTTTTCTATTCTTTTCTTTTTCTCCTTTTTTCCTCTATTTCTTTTTTTTGTTTTTCCCTTCTTATTTGCTTTGTTTTCTCCAATTTTTTCTTCTATTTCTTTTTTTCTTTTCTATGTTTTTTCTCCCTTTTCTCCCTCTATTTCTTTTTTCCTTTCCTTTTTTATATGCTTATTCCTGCTCGTCATTCGGTCGCCTCGACAGCTGGGAAGGAGGTCATAGAGCTACTGTCAAGGACCCCCATGACAGTCATAGGGGTCTCAGGGCCAGGGTGGGGGGAGAGGGAGGGGAGAGGGAGATGGAATGGGGGGAGTGGGAGGGGGAGGTAGGGAGGGAGGGGGTGGAAAGGGCTGTGGGGTAGGGGGGGTGGGGAAGGAGAAGGAATAGGGGGAGTAGGAGGGGGAGGTGAGGGGAGGTGGGGATGGGAAGAGGCTGTGGGGGGAGGGAGGGGTGGAGGGGAGGGAGAAGGAATAGGGGGAGGGAGGGGGAGGGTGCAGGGGAGATGGGAGTAGAGGGGGAGGTGCGGGAGTGGGGATGGGAAGAGGCTGTGGGGGGAGGGAGGGGTGGAGGGGAGGGAAAGGAATAGGGGGAGTCGGAGGGGGGAGGGTGCAGGGGAGATGGGGAGTAGGAGGGGAGGTGCAGGGGAGGTGGGGATGGGAAGAGCTGTGGGGGGAGGGAGGGGTGGAGGGGAGGGAGAAGGAATAGGGGGAGTGGGAGGGGGGAGGGTGCAGGGGAGATGGGGAGTAGTAGGGGGGAGATGGGGATGGAGAGGCTGTGGGGGGAGGGAGCGGGGAGGGGAGGGAGTGGAATGGGGGAGTGGGAGTGGAGGGGGGTGGGGAAGGGGAAGGGGGAGGGAGAGGGAAGTAGGAGAGTGCAATAGAGAGTCTGAGGATGTTCCGATGATGTTGATAATGATAGTGATAATTAGGAACTCATTTACTTGTGGCGATCGTAATGATGTAAGTGTATTGTGGGTTGCTGAAGGCCTCGAAGAATAAGTCAGACCTGAGAGAATGAAACTATCCATCTCTCTCTCTCTCTCTCTCTCTATCTATCTCTCTCTCTTTCTCTCTCTCTCTCTCTCTCTCTCTCTCTCTCTCTCTCTCTCTCTCTCTCTTCTCTCTCTCTCTCTCTCTCTCTTCCCTCCTCCTCTTCCCTGGCTCACACTCTCTCTCTCCTCTCCCTCTCTCCCACACTCTCTCTCTCTCTCTCTCCTCTCTCTCTC